AAAACAACAGAGTTAATTGTAAATGAATAGGTTAAAATGCATTTTTCCTGCTCTGGACAATGAGCACAGAATACAAATTTTCCGGCAAGCAGGAGAGAGGCCAGGCGATGGGTGTGACTTCACTGATAGTGTAGAGTTTGTCAACAAGCCTGGCTGTACACCATGCTGTACTGCAGGGTTGTAGGCTCCAAGTTGGACACCAGTAAAAATGACAAGAATTTGAGAAAACAGTGAACGACTCAACTTAACTGCCAAGGCTATGCAGGTAGGGGATGTTATTCATCGCATAGGATATGCAGACAGAAATTTGTGGATCTGGGCGATGTAACTTGTGTATAAGGGCACCAATTTAACGACAATTCTTCTGTAATGATAGTCATTCCGTATATTTAATTGGATTACTTCAGGGGGAGGGTATTAACACTTTCTGGATCTGAGGATGGGGTTTGTTTTCTTGTTCAAAGTGAACCACGCTTGTGCTGCTTGCTTAGCGATGCACATGTTTATACTCATTTTCTGTTTGCAAGCCTATTTATAGGGTTAGAACATTGATTTTTATATCAATATGTCTGGAAATAAATGTCACTGCATGTAGGTACAAAACTAATTGAATAAACATTGTCTGGTGTGCAAGACCTTGTTGCATTTGAGGCCAATAATTGTTGTTATACATTTTTCTGAGAGAGGCCCCTGAAGGCTTGTTAGACCCTCCCGGCCCAAACTGAAGCCAGGACCATAATCTGGTTGTCTCTACAAGGCAGTAAGATCTTGGTAATTGGAAATCAACCCAAAATAGAGAAAAAAACTTCCCAGAAAAGATATGCACAACAAAAGAAACAATGGCTTCAAGAAAATAATGTACCGCAGGGTAAACCACGCAAACGACGGTTGCTGCGAGGTAGATACCCGAACCGTGAAGAGCCTGGCAGCCACCAGATACAGGCCTAGGTCATCCGGGGTTCTAGCCTGCTTGCCCCATCAATTGCTGTCCTGGTCATTGTATTGGAAGCACGCAACCTGTGGCACAACACGTCTCCTACTTCACGCCTTCAGTGAAATCATTTTGGTTATCCCCGAGGACATTAATTCCTCCAGGGGCTTTAGAGGTTTTACTATTGTTTCCTTTGTTCTACATGTTTGTGTTTTATATCAGCCACATTTTGTGCCCTAACCTTGTGTGCCAGTGTTATCTTCTTCGATAGTTGGCTGGCACCTCTCTTACCCTGCGAGAGATACCAACTCTAAGTGATTCAATTTACTCCAATATATATTGGCTCCTCTACAGTCACCTCATTTTTGGGTAGCATGTAAGACTACTTCTCCATTATGAGACCTGTTGATGGGGAGTTTAGTAGTTGTGTACCTACATTCATGCATGGCTCTGCTTCTTGTGCATGTTGCTTCTTTGTGCTGTTGCTGAGGTATTTTGGGGGGACTTTTTTTTTAGCTTCTTTATATTTGTGTTTGCCCTGCTCTTCCCTAGGTTGTTTGCCTACCTGTTTCAGCTTCTTGTGCAGGTTCCTTCACTGTTGATGTTGGTTGTGGCAGATGACAGATGTGCCCGTCAGCAATTGAGCTGTAGTACCTTCATGGGGTTGTCTCCTTGAGCTGCATTCCATTTGGCTCATGGCAGTTATGGGTGAGCTCAAGAGTAGTCCTCTTGCAGGGGTTCTGACCTCAGCCAAGACATTGTCAGTGGCTCTTTCAAAGCTGCCAAAGCAAGGTGGCATCTCTTAGTTTGCATTGACTCTTTTATGATATGCCTTGTTGGAGTTGTGTGGGGGTAGCTTGCCCAGTTTGCCTCAGCTTAGTCCCACTTGTCTCATGGCTTGTGGGCCCTTTGGGTCATTTTTGTTGGAGTTGGTGGAGTTGGTCAGTACTTGGTGGAGTTCAGATCTGTCCAGGCTGGCTTCCTCTCCACATCTCCGTTGGGTCAATTCCGGTTCATTCTCAGCCTCTCGCAGTTCAACCAGTTTCTTCTTTATCCCTCTTTCCTGAGATAACCTTATTCCTGGTCTGTCTCGCCGGGGGCCTGGGTCCTTTCCGGGATCTCCAGGTTGCTTCTTGGCACGTCCCTATTCATCTGTAGTGCACGTGTTGGTTTTGGTTTGTGGTGTGGACTTAGGCTTACTACTTCCAGGTTCTCCTGTTAGCCTGAATCTAGCTCCATGAGTTTTCACATGCTTTGCTCGGGTCGTGGCCCATCTCCGTCTCTTGGATATTTGGGTTTTGGCCTACCTTGACAACTGGATGTTTTGGGCTCCTAGCCAGTCTGTATGTCTGCTATCCAGGGTTCTGGTTCTTTCGGGTTCTTGGTGAACCGGTGGAAGTCCCAGGTGGTTCCGACCTGGGTTTGAACTTGGTGGGCATCACCTGGGCTTCGTGTTGGCATCACTGGCCTTGCCTCCAACTTGCTTGGCCCGGCTGCAGTTCTGCCATCTTTTCGTGTTGAGTCATTCTCTGGTGACTCGGTGGTTTCGCAGCCAGCTGTGCAGGAGACTGCTTTGCCCTCCTAGTTCATTCCCTGGGCTGAGTTTGGCTTCGCAAGTTCTTTGCTTCCTCCAGGGCACTCCTTTTCGCTGCTGTCGCGACCACTGGTTGCAGACTTCGTTGTCCCTGTGTCAGCTGCAGCGTTGGCAGCTGCTTCTTCTTCTGGTTTCATGGTGGTCAGTTGCCTGGCACCTTCCTCCTCCTGTACTCAATGTCTTTACAGATGCCTCAGCTCTCAGCTGGGATTTTGTCACCACTGATCATCAGGCGTCAAAAGCAGTGGTCTTTCATTGGGTGCACAACACTGTGTGGGAGTGTGCAGCTGTGTGGCATGGAGGATATAAATTCCTCAGGGCTCTGTTGTCCAGCCCCATTTGGACTGTTCTCTCGTGGTTCATTGTCTAACCCCGTGGGTTTTGATTCGGTCCCAATCTCTTTGGAGATGCTCGCTGCATGTAGCCCTTGTTTTGGGTTCTTAGGGTTTGGCTCTCTGTGCTTTTTATGTTCTGGGTGTGTCCATCGTCCTTGCCGATGGTCTGTCCTGGTTATGTTCTGTCTCCACAGAGTGGATCATCAACACCGCCTCCTTCCTTTGGCTCTGCGAGTCATGTGGTTGCCAGGATGTGGACTTCTTCCCGTTGGCTTGGTATCGGTGTTTTCCTCTTTAAGCGCCGTTCCCCAATTGCAAGGCCCTCGCAGTGAACGCCTTTTGATTGGAATGGTCAAGGTTGGAGATTTCTGTAACTTTCCCCCAGTCCAGATGTTGCTCCAGGTCCTGGTGTGTTTGGAGTCCTAGAAGGAAAGGTGGTCCTTCTTGCTCCTTGGTTGTCGGCCCCTGCCTTGGTTTTGGCGTTGCTTGCTCCATGTCCGAACCCAGCCATTTTTCCGTGTCTCCAGCTCTTCCTGAGGGTCGGTCTGACAACGTACGTTGCTGGTTTCTTCTCCACTCTTGACATCTGGAATTTTTAGGTGGCTCCCTGACACCATCCCTCCCTCAGGGAGTCGGGTAATTACATCATTCACTGAGGTGATGGAGAAGCAGCCTTTTCCCTTGCTCCTTCCTTCAATCCTTCCTCCCTAAATGAGTGGAAGGGGTAGTGCGAATGAGTGGGCACTGGTTTATAACATTTTTGATCATATGGTTTCATAGTTTGATGCCCCTGTTCACCTAGCAGTAAATAGTTACCTGGGAGTTAGACAGCTGCTTCCTAGGGATGTGTAACAAAAAGGAGGCCTGGTCGAGGATCGGGTCGTAGGGATGCTAAGCCCTGAAAACATCTCAAGATAACCAAGATAACCAGATTGGCCTGTGTTTTCCCATTATTGACTGCAGTGATAAGTAAGGCAACATTTGTCATAGTTATCACCAGTGTTAAAGCTAAGTTTCATTCCTAGAGAAGTGGACTGGGTCTTGTCAGATTCACTTACACGAGTTATGTGGGAGTGTCTCCTGCTGAGTGGTTTGCTAGTTATTGATATGAAACTCTTATCCAGTAAAATTCACAATGTTGTATAGAGGTTAAGCTAAATAAACCTGTTGACCTATACAAAATTGTTCCATCTGGCCTATCTCTTGGTAATATTGACTGTCCCTCATGGCCTAGCACAGACACATATCTAACAGAATATGATAGAGGACCTATACAGATCTCCCTACATTATATCATGGGGGACAGCACGATCAAAGGGACCACGTTCCCCAAAACACCAGTCTCGGCGCCGACCTCAGTGTAGCTCTCCATTGACAAGTGGACGTAGCATACCTGGAGAGGTCTTCTACTTCCCGAGCCCGGGAACGTGTGCCGCTGCTCCGGCATCAGTGAGCTTTCTGGAGAACGTCTACAAGTGGTCTGCTATATGCAAATGGCCAGTATTGCAAGCTGTGGGACAAAATTTATTTTAATTCTATTTTAATTTTAATTTATTTATAGATTTAAATGAACTGGTCAAGAGAGTGGACTGTATAATTTTGTATCTCCACACAAATATATCCCACATATTTGGAGGGTTTAAAATAGTGAATTAGGCTAGAACAAATTCTGTTTTAATCACTGAATTTATTGTTAGACTATTTGATCTAATTATAATTGATTTGTTTAACTTACTCTATCCTAGGATTAGTCATAGATAAACAGCTTAGCTGTTGTGGTGCTAGAATTGTTGTAATGGAGATGTTTTTTTTTTTTTTTTTTTTTTTTTTTTTTTTTTTTTTTTTTGAGATATATACAAGAGTTGTTACATTCTTGTACAGCCACTAGTACGCGTAGCGTTTCGGGCAAGTCCTTAATCCTATGGTCCCTGGAATACGATCCCTGCCGCGAAGAATCGTTTTTTCATCCAAGTACACATTTTACTGTTGCGTTAAACAGAGGCTACAGTTAAGGAATTGCGCCCAGTAAATCCTCCCCGGCCAGGATACGAACCCATGACATAGCGCTCGCGGAACGCCAGGCGAGTGTCTTACCACTACACCACGGAGACTGCATCCACTCGGATGTGGATGTCCACTCGGTTGTGGACACGATGTGGACACCTTCAGTCAATGGCGTCTCTTCTCAGTTATCACCATATGTTGCATCTTCTCATGCACTGAGCCTCAGTCTGCCAACAAGTTAATACATAATTCCAGTCAAAGATTATGTTGAGTAAATTGTATTAATTAATTTACACAATTTCTCATAAGGATATGGCTTACCTATTGTGGGCTGCTGTCCATACCTCTTAACCATGATCTGCTCCACAAGAATTGAATAGCCAATCTATCTAATGGTAAATGAGCAGTCTCCGTGGTGTAGTGGTAAGACACTCGCCTGGCGTTCCGCGAGCGCTATGTCATGGGTTCGTATCCTGGCCGGGGAGGATTTACTGGGCGCAATTCCTTAACTGTAGCCTCTGTTTAACGCAACAGTAAAATGTGTACTTGGATGAAAAAACGATTCTTCGCGGCAGGGGATCGTATTCCAGGGACCGTAGGATTAAGGACTTGCCCGAAACGCTACGCGTACTAGTGGCTGTACAAGAATGTAACAACTCTTGTATATATCTCAAAAAAAAAAAAAAAAAAAAAAAAAAAAAGATACTTCCTTATAGTTGGTGAGGTCGCTATGAAGTAAACTTGACAATATCTCATGATTTTGGGAGAACTCTTAGAAATATCACAGCGTGTGTCTCGCTCGACAAGTACAATGGCAGGGAGGAGCATTCCTAGTAGCATAATTATTTGCTCAATTCCAGAAAGGAGAAGATATTAAATTAGGTCTATTTAGGATCTTATTAGTTCTAAATTATAATTAAGATTTATGCATTAACTAGCACAAGTAGCCGGTCGGCCGAGCGGACAGCACACTGGACTTGTGATCCTGTGGTCCCGGGTTCAATTCCGGGGCGCCGGCGAGAAACAATGGGCAGAGTTTCTTTCACCCTATGCCCCTGTTACCTAGCAGTAAAATAGGTACCTGGGTGTTAGTCAGCTGTCACGGGCTGCTTCCTGGGGGTGGAGGCCTGGTTGAGGACCGGCCGTGGGGACACTAAAGCCCCAAAATCATCTCAAGATAACCTCTAGATAGGCACCTGACAACGGAGTGGACAGCGCTTCGGATTCATAGTCCTGAGGTTCCGGGTTCGATCCCCGGTGGAGGCGGAGACAAATGGGCAAAAAAATTCTTTCACCCTGATGCCCCTGTTACCTAGCAGTAAATAGGTACCTGGGAGTTAGACAGCTGCTATGGGCTGCTTCCTGGGGGTGTGTAACAAAGAGGAGGCCTGGTCAAGGACCGATCCGCGTGGACGCTAAGCTCTGAAATAATCTCAAGATAACCTCAAGATAGTCTACAAGCAATAATAATTTGATAACAAATGTAAATTTATTCAGTCAGGCATTAACATTCTGCTGATGTATTATGCCACAGGGAAATTTTCTACAAGAATAAACAAAGAATTACCTGTAACTCTTTAACTTAAGGTATAATTTAATCCTTAAAGGGTGCTTGTCTTAATAGTCTTCAACACTGCCAGGGGCTAGAAATAACAAAAAAAAAAAAAAATTCAAGTTATAAAAGTGTTCATTTGTATTCCCTGACCATGGGGGAAAACAAAAATCGTAGGTGACCTATTTTGGCAGCAATAGGGCGAGGAAGTCTGGCAAAATTGAGGCGTTGACAGAGTAAGCATCGGAGGCGGTCTGCTTCTACTGTAGAAGCTCGCTAATCCAGACTATATGGGAAAGACCCCTTGCCAAATTAGCACGTTTTCTCGATTAACGTACTTTTTCACTGCAGAAGTCCTAAAGTGAACATTTCCAACAATTTTTATTCCATAAACAACATAATTTTAATTACCACATATAATTATAAAATATTTCAACCAGAAATCTCAACTTGTTGTAGTTCGTCGTCTTGATTGATGCCACACATCTTGAAGTGAAGAATTCTTGACAATTTACATAACCTACTCTAACACAACACTAAAATTAACACTTAAAATTACTAATTACTGTACAGTTCATGAGGCAAGGTCAGTTTTGACTGCCAGCTGCTGAAGCCTCACTGGTTGAAGGCTCTTGGCTTGCCTGTGAGGCCTCACTGGTTGAAGGTGCTTGGACTGCCTGTGAGGCCTCACTGGTTGAAGGTGCTTGGACTGCCTGTGAGGCCTCACTGGTTGAAGGTGCTTGGACTGCCTGTGAGGCCTCACTGGTTGAAGGTGCTTGGACTGCCTGTGAGGCCTCACTGGTTGAAGGTGCTTGGACTGCCTGTGAGGCCTCACTGGTTGAAGGTGCTTGGACTGCCTGTGAGGTCTCACTGGTTGAAGGTGCTTGGACTGCCTGTGAGGCCTCACTGGTTGAAGGTGCTTGGACTGCCTGTGAGGCCTCACTGGTTGAAGGTGCTTGGACTGCCTGTGAGGCCTCACTGGTTGATGGCCCTTGGACTGCCTGTGAGGCCTCACTGGTTGATGGCCCTTGGACTGCCTGTGAGGCCTCACTGGTTGAAGGCCCTTGGACTGCCTGTGAGGCCTCACTGGTTGAAGGTGCTTGGACTGCCTGTGAGGCCTCACTGGTTGAAGGCGCTTGGACTGCCTGTGAGGCCTCACTGGTTGAAGGTGCTTGGACTGCCTGTGAGGCCTCACTGGTTGAAGGTGCTTGGACTGCCTGTGAGGCCTCACTGGTTGAAGGCTCTTGGATTGCCTGTGAGGCCTCACTGGTTGAAGGCTCTTGGATTAACCCTTAAATTGCGCATCGCATCATATAATGCTTTTGAGTACCGCGCACGATTTGAAAGGCCCGCGGGGTATAGGGGGTCCCCATACGCTACCCAGGGGATATAGTAAATAGCCGCCGTTTTGAAAAAAACTCCATCTCGCGCTACTATCGCGTGGGAGGCCTCAGTTACCCAGCAGCCACCATGTCGAGCTCACGGCCGAACGCTTCCTGGGCATGCCCCACGCAATCACTCACCCAAGAGCAAATAACCAGTGAATTATTTTCCGATGGTGACAAAAGTGACTTTGATGACTGATATAGATAAAGACTACACGCAATTGACCGATGAAGATAGCACAGACAGTGAAAATGAGATACAGCCGCCTCCCATGGCGAGGCCTATACGCTCACCCATGCCACCTCGCCCAGTGTCTACCCCAATTCACCCTCGACCACACAGTTCCTGTGCTTATTTAGAGTCTGAGGATATTTTCGGTGACGAGTCAGAGGAAGGTGACTCTTTTTCTGGTTTTAGTGAAGTGGAATCAGAACATAGTGTTACCGAGCCTGGTGCCAGTACCAGTGGTGTTACCGGGCGAGATTTTGTAGCATCAGCAGGGTCTCGCCCAGCCAAGGGTCACCGCATGGAACAACATGAGGGACCAAGAGCCTCATGTTCAAGTGCTTCTACCTCACGTGCACGTAGCGGCCATACTGTGCGTAGACGGGCTTCAGCTCCTGGTCCACAAGGTGCATCGCTTCCTCGCCGTAGTGCCCCTGTTGCGTCCCCTGCGCCTCGCAGGATACCAGGTGTACTAGTGTGGAGTGATGGTGCTGGTTTTATTCCCTGAATTCCTCCCTTTGACAATAAAGACGTTGGGATTACAGAGCTTTTTCCCTGATAATGGAGAGGATATGAGTGAATGTGATTATTTTACAGCATTCTATGATGAGCCGCTCATGGATATATTGTACACCAAACGAACCTTCATGCGGCTCATCTCATTAGAAGAGAGATAACAGAATTTTCATGATTGCAACGTTGGAAAACCACCACTGTAGGTGAAATGTATGTGTTTCTAGCGATATGTATGTTGATGAAACACTGTGTCAAACACGCTCTCACAGATTACTGGAGCAAAGATCTGACTATTCCAACACCTTTCTTCGGGAAATATATGTCCCGAGACAGATTTCAGATACTCCTCAGGTGTCTGCATTTTGCAAGTAATGAGGACCGGACAGAGGATGATAGACTTTGGCGAGTGAGGCACTATATGAATGAAGTGATTGGAAAATTCAGAGATTTTTACGTACCAGCACAGAAGCTGGTGATTGACGAATCCCTTGTACTTTTCAAAGGACGTGTTTCATTCAAACAGTATATTCCCTCCAAACGAAACAGATTTGGATTGAAATTCTTTGTACTGTGTGACTGTGAAACAGGATACATGTTACACATGATTCTGTATTCAGCTAGCGATGTAGACATTCCCGGTAACGACGAACATGGTTTCTCGGGTAGTGTGGTGAAGTCACTGATGGCACCATGGATGAACAAGGGCCACATCCTATACACAGATAATTACTATACAAGTCCATTGCTAGCTAGGTTCTTGATTGAAAATAGAACCGGGTTGGTTGGCACAGTAAAGGCACGAAGAAGGGAAATGCCAGTGTTTGGCGGTGGACTTGCAGTTGGTGAGTGCCAGGTACGGAAATGTGATCAAATACTCTCGGTACGGTGGAAAGACAAGAGAGAAGTGAACCTGCTGACAACCGTTCATGAGGGTACAATGTTGAACAGTGGCAAGGTGCACCGTGTAACGAGAGAACCAGTATATAAGCCAGATTGTGTTCTTGACTACAATCTCAACATGCATTTGATTGATAAGGCTGACATGATGATTGGCACTATCGAGTGTGTGCGGAAAACATTGAAGTGGACGAAAAAAGTGTTTTTCCATCTTGTTGACATGAGCATGTTGAACTGCTATAATTTGTATCTGGTGAAAACTGGACGTAAACCTATTTTCCGTTCATTTGCTTTTACACTTGCAACACAGTTATTAGCAAAGTTTGGTCAAGAAGTCCCTGGCATACGAAGACCAATCATGAACCCAGTGTTGCAGCATGCTGCAACACCCAGGCTCGCTCACATAATGATGCCTTTAAGCAACATAGACTAAAGAATTTGCCACCAAGTGGAAAGCGTGCAATAGGCCAACGTGCATGCCTAGTATGTAAAACAACAAAACGAAGAAAACAGAAACGTAAAATGGTGCAAACATGGTGTGAAGGGTGTGCAGTTGCATTGTGTGCTGTCGACTGCTTCAACGACTACCACTCGCTCCAAGATTTCTAAATGTGCAATAATAGTACAAAAACCTGTACATAGTGCGTGCCA